CCTCTTTCTTAGAGTATTCATCTGTTTTATCATTGCAGCCTATAAAAAATTATCATTGTAGCACTATGCAAAAGTAATGCGGATGTTAATCGTCAATTGTTGTGCTTTGCGCTTCAGGTACACTACCGATATTAACTTTTTACTAACTACGCGTATGGGTTTTATTATGGAATATTATTGACCTGAGGTTGTGGCGATAAGTATCAAGTGCAGCCGTGCGAGTTCCGTACAAAAATGACCGAGGACAACCCCAGTTCGGGCAAGCGAGGTTATTAACTAGTTTATTACACGGCACTTGGATCATACTCGTTAATTTATTTTGGATTTTTCGGCTTTCGCGTCCAAAATAGACGGCTTTTAAAAGACCGTTACCGCAAACACCCAGAAACGTTTATGGTTGTGTGATATTCTTGTTTGTTGATTTGAAACGTTGAAACAACAAAGCAGGTGAGACGCAACAACACAAACGTGAAAGGTTTTCTTTTTTTGCATTTTAATCCTTAAAAAAATGATCAGCAGATACTAGACACTAATCGAGAAGGTCTAAACTTTTACCTAGCTATATTACTAAAATAGTACAGATGTAATATTGCCTATAATAGTGTATTTAGATAGTAACGAAACAACATAGGAAGTACCGTCAATCAATTGGCTGTCAGAAGCAAATGCCAAAATGACTACACATCTCTTGGAAACTATTCTACAGAAATACTAAATTGTTAAGTTATATCTTCATCTGGCGGGTTTGTAAGCAATGATACTTCGTAGACTTACACTTAAAGATAATTGATGTGGAATGACAAAGGTAATTTCCACATCCCACGAGATTCAGTCATAATGTTCCAAGTTAAGCAAAGTCAGTAAATTTGCTTTGCTTTCTGGAATGTTATTTCTATCGCCTATATACATCCTGTCCTGCATAAAATAATTTTTAAAAATTCTAACCTGTTACAGATCCATAAGACCATAGGATAAAACTTGATAGTTGTGCACTACAGTCAATAGGTAACTAAGATTTTCAACCAGCATCTAGTAAAATTCTTTATCAAAAAGTTTTGTCACGAAGTACCGAGTACGAATCACCACGCAAATGGAAAGAACATCTGCTAAAAAGAATAAATTGAAAACCAGCGCTAACTCGTACACTATCTATACTGTTGTGGCTCACCGTTTCCCTCGAGCTTTGCTCCAAGAAAACCGTTCGCATCTCGCAACAGTTCACTGTCCGCAATCAAATATCTGAGAATACTTTAGCGTCTTATGCATGGAGGCTATTGATTAAATAAACGCAAGGCCGTGTGAATAGGACATGGAGCATGCAGTTTCACTTCAGCTCCCAACCGGTTTGGCCGCGGGGTTTTAAAACTGTTGAGATCGTTTTTCTGTTCCGTCCCGATTGAGATCGACCTCTAGGAACTCACAATGAAAAGTGAATATGTCAAAAGATACTCGATTTGAAAAACAAATTAATGAATATGTAGCTCTTTCAAGCAACGAAATTAGCTTTGATTCAACGAAGTTTGGTTGGAAAAGGAGAGAAAGAGTTTGCTGAATTCAAGTAGGGTATGCTTATTTGAGCACCGGTGTGGCAGCACTGGCTATCGCTCTGGTGAAATATTTAATTATCTGCCTCAAGATAATTCGTTTTATTTGCTTACACTTGGGAACTGGTAGTTAAGCACATCCCTATGGCTCTGATCTACTCTAGATCATTTGTGAAGTCTATTTCTTCGAGTATTCCAACGCGTTGTCCTTCAGACTTGTGGCGACGCCTAAATGATCATGGGATTTCAAGAGCGAAACCAACACGTACAGGTTGCCGTGGAGGTCAACGCAAACGTTTTGGAAATAATATCAGGCTCAGTCAAGATCAGCAGCCTGATTTTACCCCGTGAGCCGTCTCAATTCATCCATTTTGTCCGTCTCCAACATATCCACTTTGTCCACTGGAAATCTCGAAGTCGAAGCTCTTTTGCATAATTCTTCAAGGGAGTCACTAGATATTCAATTTCACACCTCTGCTAGCACTCCAGCTAGTGGAAATGAGCCGCAGGATCCCGAGAGAATTTCATGGGACAACAAAAATCAAACAACAAACTCTGTACAGAACAGCGCGCGGAATACGAGATCCCTGGAGGGATTCGCTCACAGTAACTCTATGTCCCTAAAATCATGGTTACAAATGTTATGTCACCTGTACCAAAGATGAGCGAAGTGTGTGAATTCGTTTTGCGAAACCAAGTTAGCCTCACTTCTATCACTGAGATATGGCTCCGCTCTTCTTTCACTGATCCTATCGTTGATATTCCGGGCTACACGGTCCTACGTAGGCACCGTTCATCCGATCATGATGGTGGCGTCTGCCTTTACATCAATGCTGAAATTCAACAAAAACGACTGGACGTTCTTTCGTGCTGCCCTGACCACGAGGTCTTACGGGTTCAGCTACGCCCTAAACGCCTGCCGGGGAGGTTTTCCTCCCTGATAGTTGCTGTCGTCTATCAACCACATTGGTCTTCCGCTGAGAACAAGTTAATGCAAGAACACTTGTTCCAGTCATTACAACTTGTTGAGTCACTTTTCCCTGATTGCGCCCTTATTGTGGCAGGAGAGTTCAATCGTCTTGACACAAAGCCAATGGAAAGACATTTCCGGCTCAACCAAATAGTAAAAATTCCAACCAGAGAGGACGCAGTCTTAGATCCTGTCCTCACTAATTTGCTTCGCTTTTACACTGCCTCTCAGCGCTTCCCGCCCTTTGGCCTGTGTGACCATAATACCATTACTGTAGAGGCCAAAGTAAGAGACAACTGTCGTCAAAAGTCTAGATTTGTGTTCAAACGTGACAAGCGGGAAAGTAGGAAAGCTGAGCTTGGTAGATACCTGTGCGCAGTTGATTGGCCAATGTTATTTTCCTCGATCAACTGTCGTCAGGAAATGCTTGACATCTTTCGCAAGGCTTGACCTTCTGATGCCTATTAGGAGAGTTCGCGTTAACACATCTGACGCCCCATGGATGAACGATAATAATAATAATAATAATAATAATAATAATAATAATAACTTTTATTTATATAGCGCTCATATCCTGAGCTCATGGCGCTTTACAACACTGTGCGGGGGACTTTACCAGACTGCTAAGCAGTTTACAATCAATCGAAGGTGAATCTAACAGATGCCTCCCCCCCAAATTCCCTGTAAACAGGCCAGACCACATCACAGTAATCTCGTGAGTGGGTTCTTCAACGTCCCCTGCCTAACCAAATTAACTAACTAATAGATACAGGAGTCGGGAGCTACGGTTTATTCGTCCTTATCCGAGAAGACTAGAATGTCTATCCATTTCTTGATGTTATAGAAAGGTAGCACATTCTCCTCAGTTATTTTAAGACCTTGAGTGTTGGCCCGGCTGGGGCTTGAACCCTCGACCTCCCGCACAACAGTCTAGCGCTCAACCAATTGAGCTAACCGGGAGGCGGTTAGCTCAATTAGTTGATTAAATCACTCATTCTCAAACGACAAAAAGCCTTTCACGATGGCGGCGCGGGATTAATGCTGTATAAATTTTACAGGAATGCTGTAAATCGTGAAAGGAATTCATGCAAAGCTCGACTTTACAAATCCAATTTCGAGCATATGAAGGAGGAGAATCCAAAGGTTTGGTGGAAGGAGGTCAAACGTTTGTGTGGTTTTAATTCAGACTCGCGGAACGTTTCCACACATCCATATTGACGTAGTTGACACCCTTACTTATCAGGAGCTAGAAAACGCAATTAACGAGGCCTTAATTGAGCCCCTTGGAGAATATTGCTTACCCCAACCGCGGACCAAATTTCGCATCGATGAGGACACGCCTGAGCCTCCAGAGGCTTCGGATATGCGTATTTTAAGCTATTGATTGTGTTAAACCCTTCCAAGGCATTTGGTCTAGATGAGATACCAAACTAGATGCTCAGGGAGCATGCTGAACGTTTGTCCTTTCCCATCAGTGGAATTATCAACCTCCCTATTAATGAGCAGTCTTTTCCGAAGATCTGAAATTACGCGAATGTGTCTCCTTTGCCCAAGGTGAAGCTAATTGAAGACCTAAAGAAGTAGCCCAGGCCTATCTCCCGACTCCATGTTTATCGAAAATTGCAGAGGAGTACGTAATTCTTGATTACGGGAAGCCAGCAGTTCTGGAAGTGCTTGACCCCAACCAAGATAGAGCTGTTCCCAAGTCCTCTACCACCCAGGCGCTGATACACATGCTTTATAACTGGTCCAAGGAAACCGATGGCAATGGCGCTACAATTATAGCTATTCTCTTTGATTATAAGAAAGCTTTTGACCTTATTGACCATAGAATACCCGTAGAGAAATTATGCAGTTTAAATCTGCCTACAAGAATTGTCAATTGGATCACAGACTTCCTTCTAATCGTTTCCAAAGAATCAAACTATCTGAGGACTGTTACTCAGAGTGGGGTTCAGTTTCCTTCGGGTCCCTCAGGGAACTAAATTAGGCCCATGGCTGTTTCTTTTACTTATGAATGACTTAGTTGTTGATTATTTAGTTAATGTATGGAAGTACCTTGACGATACAACGGCATCGAAAGTCGTTACCAGGGGCAACTACAGTTGTGCCCAGGATTTCGCAGATAAGGTCGTGGAGTGGTCCATGCAGAATAGAGTCACACTCAATCGCGAAAAGTGTAAGGAGCTCAGAATATCTTTTTACAAAGAACGAGCCCCAGTTTGTGCCTATTGTTGTAGATGGTAAAGAACTGGAGGTAGTGACTAGTGCGAAACTTGTAGGGCTGACCATATCGAATAACCTCAAGTGGAACGACCATATTAATGACGTAATCAAGAAAGCATCAAAGCGTTTGTATTTTTTAGTACAGTTAAAAAGATCAAGAGTTCCAAGGCATGATATGTCCACTTTATTGTATTTTATCCCTTTTATACATACTTTAAAAGTACCTAATGTTATGTACCCATTATATTAGTTTAGTCATTTGCATATAAGCAATTCAGCCTTCGGGCTTCAATGTATATGGCCATTAAACTATCTATCTATCTATCTACCTACCTATCTATCTATCTATCTATCTATCTATCTTCTATCTATTCAAGTGACGATGTGCGACTTTTAGATTCTTCTTAAGAACAGTGAAATTTTCCCCACATGACTTCTGAGTTTTCAAAGTTTTGAATTTGTGTTTAAATAAAAAAAGGCACAATTACATACCTATGAAGGGCGCGTCCTGGGCACCTTTAAAAAGGATTCTAAGAGGAAAACTTTTCCTCATTTCTCAAGGTAGGAAAAAGAACCTCACACTTAATAAAAAAATTACTTATTTTCTCAATTAAATTTCATTCTGAGTTGAAGACCACAACTTGAATTCAGTTTCTTGGAAATATAACAGAGCCCTGTTACGCATTTTCCGGACCACTTAAAAGCAACGTGTCCGGCAACATACGCCTCAGCTTTCAAAATGCTCTTCTATAGGATAGCAGCGGGTGAGACCGTAATATTCATGTTTCAAAACTTTTAATTGATTTGTAAATTGATTTTTATAGTTGTCCAGCACATGCCTTTTGAATGTAAGAAATCGGGCCCTGTAGGCTCAAATAGAATTCATAATTGTTAGGACCTGGTGCTCATATGATAAAATACTTATGGATTAAGTTTCTTCAGGCGGAAGGAAAAACATTTGGCTCTCAGTCATGGAGAATGGACCTCGAAATTTTCCCGTTCCGGCCTCTCACTCAGTCAATAAGTACAAAGTGCCCGCCATTTTGAATCGATCACTGCCTTCGTTCAGTTCTCTACTTTGACTTCATCGAGAGTAAAAGCAGCAAACGGATCTTCGTCAGGAACTGGCTGGGAATTGGTAGCAGGTGTAAAAATTTTTATGTCACGGCGACTCTTCCAGCAAAGCCATGCAAAAGAGATAGGAAACAAATACCCAACTACATCCTTGAAAACTTCATGGGCAGTTTCCTTCCCATTATATGACTGCCCAGTAAGGATTATCGCAATCAAAAAACAAATAGTGACAAGTACGCAAGAAACACTCCAGTAAAAAGACTGCCAGCGCGAAATGAAGTGAACGTTGTTATTATTACCATTATTATTGTTATTATTATTATTACCATTTCCCTTATCATTCCCAGGGCCTGAAGACTGATTAGTAGTAGTTTCACACGTATTATCCCCTTTCAGGACGAGAATAAAGTTTTTATGTCTGTATATATTGCTATTACTACCACCGACATTACCATTCCCAGGACCTAAACGCTCATTTGTCAAATAATAGTACTGATATACATAGTATGATAAGGCACCCACAAAAAGGCAAATTCCAAGCAGATCAAAAAGACCCCATAATGGATTGAGCGTGATACCAACTACAAGCCAAAAAAAATGGTAAGCTACCAAGTTTGCACACACGATGTAAAAGAATAACTTTCTGTCTTCCACCTCGCGATCAAAAATTATGAATTTATGAAATCTGTACCAATTGATGAAGGCAACGAACATGATATCTAGAGCAAAAATAATCGGTTGCATTGCCTCGATAAGTGCAGGAACTTCTTCTCTTTCACATCCATGAACCACTATCTCCTTAGCTATGTTTACAGCGGTTACTATGATAACAAGAAGCTTGCAAACTGTATCCATGCTCAACCGCTCAATTGCTGTCTGGGTCTGCCGATATTGCCATGCAAGGAAGGCCAAAAATGGTGCAATCAGTACTGGAAAAATGATGGAGCAGACTAACACCACCACAATCCGAAACTTGTGTCCCGTAGCAATAATATCTGACCGATGTCCTTCTATAACACACTCAGCAGAATTCAGCCGTGGGTCCCTTAGAGTTGGTTTAATGGCCAAATCCTCAAGCTATACAACAGAACAAAGGGATTAATTACCACAAATACTAGTATACAGTACAAGCCGTACTCGCAAATAAGCAGCAACTCGAGTTTTGTCAACTCAAATTTTGGAAAAAAAGCTTTTGAAAACTAATCGAAAGAAATCACAAGTTTTTGTTATGGTTGCTCCATCAACCTAACATTAAAAACAGAGAATACTTTGAATCTTTACCTGTCATTTTTCCCACTAATGGTATGGACATCATACATACCGACTTTTTATACCGAGGTCTACCTCTGATCTTACTCTGGTATTATTCAACCAGCAATTTTTTTTATTCCTGACAGAATTTCAATGGGGTTTAACAAAAAAAGGGAAACTTTCAGTGTGTTTGGTGGGTTGTTCGTTTTATAGTAACCAAGCACTTAATCAGGAGAAGGGGCATTGGACACAGGTAGCTTTTGCACGGCAGTACATGGCAAGGGTCCTGGTCAGGTAACGTTGAGCTAGTCAATCAAAGAAGCTAACTAAAGGTGACATAAAACCGGTTAAAAGGTATCTTAACTGAGAAGGTTTAACGCCACATAACAGCAATGAATATAACCTTATGCTCATGCACAAGTGCGGCTCTGTTAGGAGTCTCCAAACTTGCAAAATCAATGATCAGTTTATTTCTTTGTTTCTTTATGAAGTTCTTGTTTGTTTCCAATAAAGATTTTTAAATTTCCGATAGTGTTCACCTAAGCAAATTTGCTGCACCTTTTCCAGGTGCTCTCGCAAACAGGCCGCACCCCGGCTTACAATCACTTTTGGGGAAAAGAACGGGCTCATGCTTCAGTGTTTACGGGTAATTAACTAGACATTAGACAAATATGTCGTGGCCAAATTTAAAAAAGGAAAACTCACAGTAAGACCCTTTTGGTTGTGATTACTACGAGAAAATATATTCACCAAAACAAAACTGAGCCAAGTCAATAAATTTGTACTCAAGTCAGCACATTTAGTCACTTGCCTTGCACTACAAACTCTACTTAGAGGGTCTAAATTGTGCTGTACAGGTCTGAACCTAACAGAAGATTTAGAAAAGTCTTGGAATTTATAGAATTGCTTTCCAGAAAAAAAAAAGACCCATTTCAGAGGAGACCTCACCATCAGAGCCTGTTTGATAAACAGTTTCTGACAAACAGCCGAATGATGAATAGGGCTGATCGCTTGCCTTGGATTTCTATTTGGGGTTATAATTAATTTCTAAATTCACGATTAAAAAGTATAAAAGAAGTTACGACAATGACCGTGTTTTGAGATTCTCAGAGTAAGACAGTCTTTCGAGCATTTTGCTTACGTATGTTAAAAATCTGATTCTGAATTTGTTCAGTGACTTGATGACTTGTTTGAACAACTATGTGCTACTCAAAAATGCATTCGCAACTCAAGCAATTACCTTTGCCGAAACTACAAATTCTAAGACATAATTTTGCGTTAGGCTTAGTTATTGAGTTCTTATCTAAATGGCAATATCTTGACTCTTGAGGTATCTTTGCAAAACTACCAGGTAGATACTCTTTGAAGGCAGACTGATATAAAAATTCTAAGGTGAGGGGGCACGCTTGTTTGATGGATGTCAAGCAATCCCTTGCGCTCATAAATTTTAGACCAATAAATTTGTTTTCCATGACGACGTGGTTTGCAGTCCTTGACAGATGAGGATGAAATACAAGGTAATACTTCAACGATCAACTGGTTTAGGAATAAATTGGCCAGTCTTTGCACTTTACAGGTGTTAAAAATAATTAAGGGTAAAGGGAGGAATAAAATTTCTGCTGAGAACTAATTTTTGAAATTTTCTATTCGAGCACCCCATCAATATTCGCCTGAGTTTTTTTAAATAGACTGCAAAAGTTAATTTTTGAGGTACCCTTTCTTTTGTCGCTGTAAATTATGCCGAAATCTTTTTTTACATATCAAAAATTATCGGCACAACTAGCAAATATCAAAATCTAGAAAATTTCCTGCTAAAAAACTGTGTTTACGGCTCTACAATATATTGCTGTAATTAAATTTCTGCAAAGTAACCAGAGTCCAGTAAACACGGATAGCATAATAAAGTATCGTGGTGCAGAGAAAATCTGTTCAGCAAAAAGAAATTATACAAGAGATCAGGCCAATTTAATGTATCCATCGACAAAGTTTAAAAAATTCCAGGTTCAGCTAGAGTTTTCTACATTCACACATGGGTTTTTTAAGTTCATTTGGATTTGGACTTTCATGCAATAAGTATTGCAAGTGATCTTTCACTCAAAGTATCAAAGTACTAACCGCGGCTAGAGCATCTTCGATGTGTTTCTTTAATATCCCTTTTGTCACATCACAGCAGGTGATTGAAATTGTTATATTAAGCCTCTGAGTACGCCTGGTCACCTGGATTGCCCATAGAGACCAAAATTCAAGGACTGTCGCAGGAAGAGCAGCATAGAGGCAAGATGTGCTCCAGGTGTACTTGGCAGCTGGAGTCGATCGGTCCGTTCCATTAGGGCCATAGACATTTACAAACACACGGACTGAAGAGGGCCTCTTGGGTGGATAAAGAGCTGATTCAATATTAAAACTGTTTTGTGATTTTGTCAAGATGTCATAGACTTCCTCATAGGTGATTTCGTCACAGGATGAAGTAGAATGAACAGGACCGGTACAGTTGTTGACAACTGCAGCTTCGGTCACATGCTTTGGAATTAAATGTATACTTATCACCATGATGTGAACAAGGATAAAAACACCAGGATTGTGCTGCATGGCTGCTATACTAGGCGCACACTTTGAAGGTTCTTGTGCTTATGTATTACTGCAACAATAAAAGATGTCTTCTTTAAGAATAGAAACATGATTTCAACTTTCCTTCATTAGGTCTTCACAAGTAGTATGGGTGTCTCATCATCAATTTCTGCAAGGCCTGTGTCCGAGTCCTAGCGTTTAATTAAATATTAGGGACCTTAAGCGAACCACGACGGCTACGAGAACGTGGAGAAAAAATAGATCTAATTGGCAGAACAATAGCCCAGCACGTGCGTGTAAAAATTTTGTACATTTCTTAGCCGTTCTTTGCAAAACAACAACGTGAAATCACCAAAATTTGCGTCGTCTGCGAAGCGAAACCGCGGCGGCAAATTATTTTCATTTACATTTGGTACTCAACGCTATTTTTTAAGCATTATGCTGAGTCTGAGGTCTGGCGTCCTATGAGACGGTAAACGCATGCAACCATTTTTGAAATGCTAACTAAAAGTAGAAACTCATTTTTTAATGGACGTCTTCCGTGGCGTTGCCGTCCTGACTGTTTAAAGTCCCTATTCATACCGCATAGGTACACGAGGTGGTTTTTTAAGGGTTAGGGTCTAGGGATTAGGGTTAGGGTTAGGGAATAGGAATTAGGGTAAGGGTTTAGGGTTAGGGTTAAAATTAAATATTCATACCGCGTAGGCTCACGTGTGTCTTTTTGGTGTATTAAAATGCATATTTTAAACCTAACGGTCATCCAAGAGAGCGCCTAATCCTCCCTCAGGGAATATTAAAGATGGCGAATGTACGAATGTATACAATAGAACAAACAAAACTTACATTTTAAGATAAAAAAACTTATATTTTTTTAATTTTGATTACCTCAGTAGGACCTGCAGTGCACATACACCACTTTCATAAATGGATGCCGGATAATGCTCTTTTGTTTAAATTTAAATCAGCCCTTCTGGTCTCTCTTGAGATAATGTATTCTTTTGAATTTTGTATTGTAGAACGAGGCCAGAAGGGCTAATTTAAATTTAAACAAAAGAATATTAATCCGGCAGCCATTTATGAAAGTGCTCTATGTTACTCTGTATTGTCCGTACTGCGGGTCCGACGTAAAATTGTTTAAAGCCGGATACCTCCAATGTGTTACGATTTCCCAAGCGTGTAATCGTTTTTGGTGAAAAAAAAATCATGGAGCCAGATCTGGTCGCAGTCGAACAGTAACAAAATCTAAACGGACCCACGCCACACCCGCCTCTATCACCGCCAAAATGGTCACTTTCACCGCCACACGTATCACTAACACCACCACACCCGTCACGAACACCGCCACACCCGTCACTAACACCACCACCGCACCACTAACACGATCACACCCACCACTAACAGCGTTACACTCGCAGCTAACAGCGTGATACTCGCTGCTTACAGCGTCTCACTCGCCGCTAACATCATCACACCCGCCACTAACACGGCCACCCCCTCACCATCAACACGATCACACCCGCCACTAACCCTAATCCAACCCTAAAAAAGATATGAACGGACTCACTGTCACCCCACCACTAATACGATCTCACCCACCACTAACAGCGTTACACTCACCGCTAACAACGTGACACTCGCCGCTAACACTGTCGCACCCGCCACTAATACGTTCACCCCCACCACCTCTAACACGATCACACCCACCACCTACCCTAACCCGTTTCAAATTAGAATTTTCCCGCCTATTCCCTTACCGTTTCAAATTTGAATGTTCTCTTCCAAAATGTAAGTCCTAACGGTCAAAATCAGAGTGAGAGAAACAAACTCGACAAAATTGAATGTTCCCGCCTAAACCCTAACCGCTTTTATATATATCATTGAGATGTGAATGATTCAACCCACTCCAATAAGTTGAAAAGGAATAGTTCGTTTTATGATCACTCAGTTCACTAGTATTCAAAATTCTTGGAAAATGAACAATAGGGAAATTTAAAAAACGCTGTACAGTTCTCATTAGTATTCAAATTCTCGGAAAATGAACAATTAACCGTTCAGAGTAGAAACATGTGATAGCTTTTACCATCCTTTTTAAATAATGACTTGTCAGAACATAGTTACAAACGTTTGTCATGATTTGAAACTGTGGTGTTATGTCAAGCAATACAAGAGACTAGCAGAAGATCTAAAGGAATATGAGAACATAAAAGGTGAGAGGGAGCTTATCAAATATAAGTTTCCGCTTCAACGTAATCCCAAGAAATCAAATCAACTATTACAAGTGAAATCTGAATTAATCTGTATACAAGTAGAAACACAGAATGTAAAAACCAACCATTGAATAGCGGAGATGTTGAATCATAATTAAGTAAAGTCATCTTAAAAAAAAATTGAACGCGAATTTAAAATGAGTTGAAAAGAAAATAGCTATGTTCGTGATAACTCAGTTGGTTAGTATTCAAAATTCCTAGAAAATGAACAATAGGAAAATTTAAAAAACGCTGTAAAATTCTCATTAGTATTCAAATTCTCGAAAAATAAACAATAGACCGTTCATAGTAAAAACATGTTATAGCTTTTCTCAAAAATGTCTTGCAATAAATGATGTTTGCTTTAATTCATCAACAAATCTTATAGCGTTCCCTTCGCACATCTGTGAAGGATAAGAAAGAGGTTTTAAAATTAGATAAATATATCACTTCGTTTAGAGGTAACAGCGTTACACTCGCCGCAAACACTGTCGCACTCGACACAATATAATAAATTGAATCAAAGAGAAGTAATGTTTAATGTAATCAGTCAGTTGATACATTAAAAATGCTCAGGAAAAAAAAGTTAACGATAAGGTTATTAAAAAAACGTAACACCATGCTCATGAACATTCACAATGATTGAAAAAATGAACAATAGAGCAGACAAATTGGGAGTAAACACAGAGAGATATTACTGCGATCGCTACGTAATCGCATTCCGGAGGTGCGCAGGCCCGAAAAAGAGGAAGAAAGAGGAGAAGAAAGGAAGAAAGAGGAGAAAAAAGGAAGAACGAGGAGGAGAGAGGAGGAAAGAGGATGAGAGAGGAGGAAAGAGGATGAGAGAGGAGGAAAGAAGAGAAAAGACGAGGAAAGAGGAGAAGAGAGGAGGAAAGAAGAGGAGGAGGAGAAATGAGGAAAGAGGAGAAGAGAGGAGGAAAGAGGAGGAAAGAGGAAGAACGAGGAGGAGAGAGGAAAGAGGAAAAGAGAGGAGAGAGGAGGAGTGAGGAGGAAAGAGGATGAGAGAGGAGGAAAGAGGATGAGAAGGGAGGAAAGAGGAGAAAAGACGAGGAAAGAGGAGAAGAGAGGATGAAAGAGGAGGAGAGGTGAGGAAAGAGGAGGAGAGACGAGGAAAGAGGAGGAGACACGAGGAAAGAGGAGAAAAGAGGAGGAAAGAGGAGGAGAGAGTAGGAAAGAGGAGAAGAGAGGAGGAAACAGAAGGAGAGAGGAGGAGAGAGGAGGAAAGAGGAGGAGATATGAGGAAAGAAGAGAAGAGAGGAGGACAGAGGAGGAGGGAGGAGGAGGAGAGACGAGTAAAGAGGAGAAGAGAGGAGGAAAAAGGAAGACATCATACTTAAGTATTTATTTATAATACCCATCCGAATGGTTACGTGAACTGCGTCTCCCTGAGTTTCCACCTTTGTTATTCCACTTTCATAACATATCTGATTAAAGTCAATGATCCGTCTGTCAAAATTTTTACCGTTATTATGAGTCATGACATGTGTCAATAAATGATAAACCAATGGAAATATAATAGCAATGGGTGTATAAAAGTGGTAGTGAGCAGAAAAGCAACGCTGAGTTTAGAAAATGTCTAAAAAGGAGACTCATGCGTCTGTCATTGCAAAAGCTATTCTGGATTCTCCCAAGTGGTGTTTGTGTGAAAATGGTCCGGAGTTAATTAGAGTAGAGGCTGTGTTTTAAAAAATTTGTGACTTCATTTTGAAAAACTGTCAGCAATTTATTAGAGAAAAGCGGAAAGATTGGAGACATGGTGTCAGCTGTACTCTCTCGCGTTCAAAGAGAAACTTAGATGATTCATCCTGACTATCTATGAAAGTTTACTAGCTTGCCACATCGTCTCTTTGTGTGTGTGTGTGTGTGTGTGTGTTGGTCTACGACCTGCCTGAACATTATTGTCTATAAAGTATAAAAGTAGATATCCTTCTCTTGAAAAGTCAAGAGCGAGCAGGTAAAGATGAAGATCGCTAAGAAGAAACAGCAGCAAGCAAAGAGAACTCATCCTTATTAGCAGAAAGAGAAAAAGATAAAAGTGTGTACTGTGATTCCTCCATTCCCTATGAATCAACCTGATTACCAGAAGAATATTCGTGAGAATGTGCCATCAGGCTACCACATACCCGCATGTTTGTTAAAAATGTTCTGGAGAAAATTGATAAGATTAAGTCAGCTGTCAATTCCAAGTTAACCCAAGTCATGAGGAGAAACCAAAAGCTTGTAATTAGCCTGTGTACTGCTGTGCCTATCTAGTCAAATAAAAATCAGGGATGACATATTCCCAAACATGAACGATGATAACACCATACAAGTGTCTTTTTCCCAACTTATTACTGAGGAGGGGAGCACTGGTATGGCTACGCTAGTTGTAGTTAATAAGAAATTCTCAACTAGTTTCAGCAATATACATATATGCTGCCACCTTGAAAAAAAATGGTTACAAGTCAAATAGGAATGTATCATAATGATGTTCAATGGGAATACGATGTAATATTACTGATGGGATCATAATTACCCTTCAGTACAGTGGTTCAGAGCATAGTTAGTAGTCCCTCTACTATGTTCAGAGCATATGATGTGTATGATTCCTTAAGCACATAGAAACCATGTAAAGCAAAGCAAAGCTAATCTAAAAAAATGAATGGAAGAAGAAGAGTAGTTGATTATTTGCATAAATCAATGCAATGCACATGCAAGATAGTGGAATGTACTTCAGGTAAACATACTTGTGCATGTAAAAGTTTTAAATGACTGAGTCATAAAAATAATACTAATAATAAAAAAGTGGGTTTCATTGAAAATG